CGGGACTGCGCGCAGCGGCCGAGCCGGCTGGGTGCGGGGCGCCCGGGCGGCCGCTGGGGGGCGCGCGAGGCGCAGTCCCACGGCCCAGCGGGAAGAGCCAGGCGCGGGCCGGCGCGGGACCGGTCGGACCGGCGCCGCAGGGCTTGGCTTGGCGTCCTCCACGCCGACCGGGCGGGATGGGGGACACCCCGCTCCGCTTGGGGGCGAGGAGCCGGCGTCAGGGTCGCAGCCGGATGGTGGCTGCTGACCTTTGCCCGAAGCTGCACGGATTACCAACAGGGGTCGGGCGGGGAGAACACAGAGGGCGGGGCGGGGTCCTTAAGACTCGGCGAAGCCGAAACAACAGCGGAATGCTGACTCTGGATACGCGTGCTGGCGGGGACCCCTGGATGGTCACGCGGCTCTAAGCACGGGAACTGGGAAGCGTGAGAAGACAGAGGCTGGGCTGCCAGTGACCTGGGGCCCAGGAGTGCCCACTCCTTATGGCAGTCCATAGGGCTGGCTCCGTACTGGGCGCGCTTCGGGAGCTGGGCCTGTGGCTCAGGAGATCCAGGCCGTGGGTGCCCATTGGCCCGCTAGTATCCGAGGCACGGAACTTCTGGCGTCCAGATCCCGCCGCCCACCGTCCTAAAGCCTCCTGCTAGCCGCTTTGAAGATGAAACACCTGAGCGCCGACTACTAGCCTCTAGCAATTTGTCTCTCTCTCTTTTGGCTGCCCAAGCTTCTCCCTACCCCATCCTAACCCGGCTGCAGATGAAAGTGGTGAGGTGGAGCCCTAAAAGAGAGGGGGGCGGGGGTAGGGCCTGGGCTCCCAGAACAGGGTTAGAAGGAGGGGGGGGATAGAGACGGGGGGTGGGGGGGGGGGGGGGGGGTTAGGGGCAGGTCCAGATAGAAGACTTGGCTCCTCCAGGCTCTGGCTCCACAGCTGACTGACTCATAGGCGGCAGCTCTAAACCACTTCCCTCTAGGTGCCTCAGTTTCCCCGTCTATAAATTGGGAGTGATGACTCCTGTCGAGGGAGCTTTGGGGTGGGGCGCCAGGCTAATTAGGCACGAGATGAAAGAGGCCGGGATGAGAGCAGCCCTGGGCTGGGAAGGCAGGTTGGAGTAGGAGCCTGTCTGGTTTCCTTGTCTGAGGCCCAGAGGGCGCTGGTAACTGCAGGTCCGGTCTCCCAGCTCTCGGGGAGCCAGGGAGGGTTATTAAATCCTGTTACAGTTGAGGAGAGAGGCTTCCAGGGGTCAGGGAGTCCAACTCTGGCTGTGTCCCAAGCTTCTGATGCTGCAGCCTCTGCCAACCTCCACCCTCCCGGAGCTTTGGTGCTTTGAGGTGGCATGTGTGGTTTCCAGAACTGTGACGGATGCTTTTTCCTGAACTCCACAGGGCTCCTGGCACCCTGGGGGTGGGCTTTCAGGAGCCCAGAGATGGTGGAGTCATTGCACAAAGCCCCAGAACACTCGTAAGCAGGACTGGACTTCTGCTACCTGCCCCAGCCGTCACCCTCAGCTCTCTTGATGTCCAAGCCCCCGAATGGGCCCTGTTCTCATCTGCCTGCCCAAGTCTCCCCTATGACAGGTGATATTTGCTTTGTTCTGGCAACAGTCTGGGCAGAAGAGACGTTCCCTCAGCTCACCATCAGACCCTCTCGAGAGAGTGACCTGTCTGGTGTAAGGAGACAGGAGTTCCTTCACCTTTTCTCTCCTCTTTTGCATTTCTGTTCCTCCCTGTGCAGCAGAGTTCTGAGGAAACCCTAGACATTAGACTGGAAATGGGAAAAGGAAATCCTTGAGTGGCCCTGTGCCTTGATTTTCTCTTCTGTAAAACTGAGACCTGCAACAACCGCATCCCCATAGCACTGGGTGCCATGGAAACAGGGATGCTTCACAAAAGGAGGCCGTGGACCAAAACACATAGTAGGGGCTGGAGAATGGAGGGTTGCTGCCAATGTTCACAGTTTTCTTTGTAGGGACGAAAACTGCACTGGCTGATTTTATGTCAACTTGACACAAGCTAGAGCTACCTAAAAGGAGGGAAGGAACCTCAATTGAGAAATGCCTCCAGAAGATCTGGCTGTAAGGTGGTTTTGTTTTGTAAGGAGTTTTGTTAATAATTAGTGGTGGAGGGCCCAGCCCCTGTGGGTAGTATCAGCTGGGCTGGTGGTCCTAGATGAAACAAGCCGTGGGGAGCAAGCCGGTGAGCAGCACCCTTCCATGACCTCTGCATCAGCTCCTGCCTCCAGGCCCCTGCCCTGACTTCTTTCAGTGACTGTGGTGTGGAAATGTAAGTCAAATAAACGCATTTTCCCCAACTTGCCTTTGGTCATGGTGTTTCATGTTTCATCAGAGCAACATTCACCCAAACTAAGACAAAAACATTCTGGACTTAGGGGTGATGGTTGTATAACTCTCTGAAGACTGAAACTCCTGAACTATATACATGTTGTGAGGCTAAATGTGGTGGTACATGGATGATCAAAAAGATTAAAATGGAATTAGCTGGGATGGCCATAGTGGTACACACCTTTAATCACAGCAGTGAGGATGCAGAGAGAGATCACTGTGAGTTTCAGGCTAGCCTAGTCTATATAATGAGCTCTGGACAGGCCAGGACTACATAGTGAGGCTGTTCCAGAAAAACAAACAAAAAGGTGTTACTGCCAGACTGTAATCCCAGATATCAAGAAACTGAGGCAGAAAAATTGAAGCGTCAAGGTTTATCTACAGAGACCAAGGTCAACATGGTCAACTTAGCAATCCGCTGTCTTAGAAAGGTAAAAGAAACGGGTACATATGAGTGGTAGAAGGCTTGTTTAGTATGTACAAGGCCTAGTACCCCAGTATGGTAAAATAATTTTTAAAATTGTGTTGTAAATAGGGTCCCTTGGGGCTGGGGAGATGGCTATCAGCAACAAACAGAAGGACCCTAGTTCAAATACCCCAGCACCCCCATAAATGCTGAGTGAGGACCTAGACTCCCAGCGCTAGGGACACAGAAGCAAGAGGATCCTGGGAGCTCAGACAATCTAGCCAAATTAACAAGCTCTGGGTTCAGTGAGAGGTCTTGTTGAGAGAGAGTGACAGAGGGAGAGGGGAAAGAAGGAGGGAGGGAGGAAGGGGGGAGAGAGAAAAAGAAAAAAATGCATGGAGAGCGACTGAAGACATCTGGCTTTAACCCTGTCCTCCACATACTCATAAGCACACGTCCACACTCGGTGAGGGCACGCACACAAAAAATAAATGATAAAAACAGGTTCCTAGAAAGCAGGTACACTGGAAAGGCAATGACAAACATCGTGAAAGACAATGCAAAGATAAAATCTGGTGGTAGAGGTGACAGTGGGGACAAGAATCTAGCTGGGGCATCTGCTCTAGGAAGAGGGGATTTGTCGGGAATCCTGAATAGGGTAGCCAGTTCCCAGCTGCAGAGGAGGCGGAGCTGCGAAGAGATGGTGGTGAGCTTGGGCTGGAGGGAGGCAGTGGGCACCTGGGAAGCTGCAGGGAGGCAGAGGAGCTCAGGACCAGGGCCCTCCAGGCCTGGGGATGCTCTGTGGAGGGAGAAACACGTGTTTTCACAACTATGGCTGGGTGTGAGGCAGGGGTTTGGCCTAGGTGGCAATTAGCAGGAGAGGGGGTGGGGAAGAGAGAGGCAGAGGCTTGGGGCTGTGTGGCTGTGGTACTTGGAGGCTGATGGCTCCAGCATCCGAGACAGAAAGAATGTGGAGACTGCAAGCTAGGCGTGAAGCCCCAGGTAGGAACTCCCTAGATGGAGGAGTCAGTGTCATTATGGCACATTACATGTTATCGGGGCTTTTCAGCTTCCAGCGGCCTATCACCAAACCAGACGGGAAAGGTGGCTGCTTGGCTGGGCGTGGTGGCCCAGGCTCGTAATCCCAGCACTTTGGTGGCAGGGGGAACAGAAGTCCAGCATCATCCTCAGCCGCACAGGAGTTAGAGGCCAGCCTGTCTCAGCTGAGGGAGTGCAGGGGGAACGCTCAAGCGGCTGGCCAAGGAGCTCACCGGCCTGCTCTGAGAGGCTCTGTCTACTCAGGGCTTCTATGTTCCCGGGCAAGAGTCAGAATCTCTTAACTACCAAAATTTGAGCTAGAGCTAGGAGCCCAGTTTTGCAGCTGGGGAAACTGAGGCCCTGAGAGGGTAGGTGACTTGACCTACCCTACATCCACAGGCACTAACTGTCTCTGTCTGCAGCTAGATGCTTTCCTGTGTCTGCTCAGCATGTGCTTAAAACTCCAGGTTTCACAGCCCCTTCCCTGGCTCCGTCCCATCCTGGTTCCAAATACGGACTTCTACGAGAACAGGAAGTAGTAGTTCTAAACCCTCTCCCACCACCCACTGCCCCTTCTAACTCCCCACGCTCCTTGGGATGGGAACCGAGCACCATATTCAGAAAGTATGCACGGGGATCACGGTCTTTGCTGTGGCTCCTCTTCCCTTCAGCCTCAGGTGGCGTCATTCGTGACACATGACTCATGGCTTGCTTGTCACTGTGACTCGACCCACCATCTTTTTTTTTTACACATAATTTATTTTATTTTATATTTTATTTTATGTA